AACTGAGTTATAGCTGTTTGTTACATATCATTTTCAAAAAATCATATAAGCTTTGCAATTTGACAGTTGACAATTTTGAAAATTTTGGGAAACTCTTCGAACCTTTGGTTATCAAATGCAAGAAAAATTATTTACTTATTGCAAACGGTTCAAGAGCTGTGATGTTTTTAATAGACCTCTGCAAATGAAAATTTTGAGCAAAAAATTGACATATGTCAAAAACTATGACAGATAAGTACTAACAACTAGGTACATTTTACTCAGTTTGGAGAGGAGAATTCAAAAATGCAATAAAAATAATTGGTTACCATTTAAAATTTCAAAGTTGGCGCCAATTTCTCGTAGTTCCGGAAGTTCAGCCATTTTGAAAATAATTTAGTTGAACTCAGACTGGTTGATTTGGGTTGTGTACAAAATTTCAAATTTCTATCTACATTAGAAATTTAAAAGTTTCTAATATAGGCCCTAAAAGAATCACCTTGTACAGGGTAATAAAGTTTCATTCTTGTCTTGTTTGACTAGACTCAAATTAAATTTTTAATTCAAATTTTGACCCATTTTACAATAATTTTGTTTAAATTTTTTTTCTGTGGAAATCCCCCCAATCGGCCTACCCCTTGGGTGCTTGTTAAAATACCGATTTGGAAAGTTGTAAAACGGTAATTATCACCCGACTTCGCCAAGGCCTTTGCACAATAATAATTAACATTCATAATCGAAAGAAATTTCTCCAAAGGTGCGAAAAACACTCTAAAAACCGCATCCTCCGACCTGATAATTGCGAATTTATTAACCACACGCATTGTCATCTTTGAGCAAAAACAACTTTGCTGCATTCCAAAGAAAGTCAGAGTTTCTCCACTTACGTAATCGTTTTCAGACGCGGTTAACTAGTTTTGTGCTCGGATATGGAGCCGATTTGCTTTTATTTTCATTTCATTCTTTTAATTTGTTTTTAATGAACGAGCGACCGTTTATGTAATTCGGATTTCGAAGTGTTCACCACCTGAAAAGCGAACGAAAGGAACAGCTGGCTGATGAAAACCCTGAAGATGAATCACTCATCTGGGTCAAAACGGTTGCAACAAAAAAAAATTCAATATACAGTATGACCCGAAAATAAGTGCCCATCATTAGAAATCACACTCCTAACATTATAAAATCGTAATTAATTCAATTAATTGAAATTACGTAAAGGTATTAATACCCAATGTGACATTTTTCTAAGTAATAAATTCTCGGAAATTGCATTCCCGTCTCAAGTTTTTTTTTGTGAAAATAATTAATTAACTCAAGCACTGAGATTAAATCAATTACGCAATTGTGAATTATACTCGACGCACTTGCATAATTATTTTTACTTACACCTGAGCCAAATAAAAATTGTTTGACTCAAAATAATTAAATTATAAATTGCAAATTAATTGTAAAAGCAAATAATCTGTGTTTCATAAATTAGAAAAATAATTAATACTTTTAAGTCACTTAATAATTAATTATTCTTTAGTTTTGTATACAATCAAATTCAAAATTAATTTGATTAATTGATCAGAGAAATAAATCAAAATTGCAGTTAATATGTAATTAATTAAATTCAATTTCCTCAAATTCTCAAACAATTTAAAGTAAACAATTTAAAAAATAAACACAGTTCATTATTTGAATTAAGTTAAATTGAATTAAAAATTTGTTGGAAAATGTTTTTATTGTGAAAATTATTAAAGTATTTGTTTTGTAATCGCACCGTCTGTTGAGTTTCCAACAACTAGCAAGCAAACACAATATTTTAATTAAATGTTATTGTTAATTTTACAACTTTGTGTGTAATAAAAGTGAAATTAATTAATAAAAACAAGTCAATTATTCACTCGAGCTTATTTTTAGCCTCTCGTCGAGTTTAACATACGCATATCGTCGATAATAATTACAAAATATATAACAAACATAGAAAAAAATTCAAGAAAACCGAGTTGTTTTTCTGACCATCAAAATTAAGGTCATATTTTACCTCTCTTCGTACATTTAGTAATAAACAGAGACTCGTTTTAATAAATTAATACTTAATGCAATCACTGGACTAATATCGTCCTTCAGAAGGTTGCAATAGATTTATCTCGCAATGAGTTAACTGAACTGTGACGTAATCGAATTCTTTACACAACTGAAAAATAAATCGCTTTTATGCAACCAGTAATACAACTGGTGACCCCTGGACGTGAAAGTTATTAGTTTGGCAATTATGGACGCTCCTCGGCCAATTTTGCAACGGAATATTGAACCAAGCCCAATTTTGGCCCAAATAATTGCATTTTTTTCATTCAGTGAATAGTGGTTACATTGGAAAATCTTTATTTTATCAACCAAAAAAAGACAAAAAACAGCCAAATTCAAGGTTGATTTCTTCTTTATGTATACATTTCGAGTTTTCTTTAAAAAAAAACGCAGTTTCTTTGAAAAAAATCTGTCAGAAAATTCATTTGTTACATTTTTGAGTTTTTTTTCTGATGTGATTATGGCTTGTCAAAAGAACAGCCTGATTTACAAGCCCAAAAGAACTGTGTTTTTTTTTTCAAAAAAGACATTATTCTCTGCTTTATTGCTTTTGTCTACTTTGAAGAGTTTGAACATGTTGTATTCAGTTGTCACATTTTTGACATTTTTCTTGTCTCAATTTCGAAAATCTTTCCTAGTGTAATAATGCTTTATTACTTAAAATCGGCCAGATTTACATTAGAAAAAAACAAAAAAATCGCAATCTTATCAGTTTATTTTTATTAACTATGTATAATATAACATTTAACACGGAAAAACTATTGCAAAATAGTCAGTTTTATGGTTAATCTACTATTTTTGTAAATTCTTAAAGTTTATTAGACAAAAAATTGCATTTTATTAAAAAATCTGTAAAAAAAATCAGTGTTCACATTTTGAGATTTTTTTCTTGTGTCAAATAATTTTTTTGTCCCAAAGAATTGTAATTTTTTCATACTCAATTCTCATTTTCGGAAATGTTCCCTGGTGTAATAATGGTTTGTTACTTAAAATCAGCCATATTTACAATAGAAAAAAACCAAAAAATCACATTTTTATTTATTACATTAGCAAAAAACTACATTGGAAAATGTTTATTTTACCAATTATAAGTTTTAAAACCAAAAAAAAGACATTGCTTTCGTATAAATTTCAAGTTTTTTTCTGAAAAAATTCATTTTTATTGAAATAATCTATAATAAAAAAATGTGGGTTTGATTATGGCTTGACATTAAAATCGGCCAGAGTTTACACTTGGTAAAAACCAAAAAAGCTGCGGTTTTTTTTTCAAAAAGACAAAATTAAATTTTATTAAAAATTTGTCAAAAAATTCTGTCGTCACGTTTTCGAGATTTTTTTCTTGTCCCAAATAAATGACATTTTTTCAAATTGTTTCAGAAGTTTTCTTTAGTGTAATAATGATTTGTTACTCAAAATGGGCCAGATTTACAAGAGAAAAAAGCAAAAAAATCTAATTTTTATCAACTATAACACTTAACACGGAAAAAATTATTGCAAAATAGTCAGTTTTATGGTTAATCTATTGTTTTTGTAAATTTTGTAAGTTTTTGGGCAAAAAATTGCATTTTATTAAAAAATTTGTCAAAAAATGCAGTTGGTACATTTTTGTCTCAAATTTAATTGTTTCAATTTCGATAGTTTTTCATGGTTTCTTACTTAAAATCGGGCAGATTTACTTTAAAAAAAAACAAAAAAACCTAAATCTTATCAGTTTATTTTCATCAACTATAACATTTAATACGGAAAAAATATTGCAAAATAATCAATTTTATGGTTAATATAGTATTTTTGTAAATTTTGAAAGTTTTTTAGGCCAAAAATTGCATTTTATTAAAACATCTGTCAAAAAATTCACTGATCATATTTTGAGATTTTTTTCATGTCCCAAATAATAGTAATTTTTTCATATTAAATTGTCTCATTTTCGGAAATCTTTCTAGTGTAATAATGGTTTGTTACTTAAAATCGGCCAGATTTACAACAAAAACAAAAAATCACATTTTTATTTATTTTAATGAATGATTTGTTACATTAGCAAAAAACTACATTAAAAAATGTTTACTTTATCAATTATAACTTTTAAAACCAAAAAAAAGACATTAAATGGTCAAATTCGAGGTTCTTTCGTATAAATTTCAAGTTTTCTTCTGGAAAAACGCAGTTTTATTGAAATGATCTACCAAAAAAATTTTTTTTGATGTGATTGTGGCTTGTTATTAAAACCGGCCAGAGTTACACTTGGTAAAAAAAAACTGCGTTCTTTTCAAAAATGGAAAAATTGCATTTTATTAAAAATCTGTCAAAAAATTCTGTTGTCACATTTTTGAGATTTTTTTCTTGACCAAATAATTGTAACATTTCAAATTCAATTGTTTCAGTTTAGGAAAATTTTCCCTAGTATAATAATGGTTTGTTACTCAAAATCGGCCAGATTTACAAGAGAAAAAAACAAAAAATCCCATTTTTATCAACTATAACACGGAAGAAAATAATGCAACAAAATAGTCAGTTTTATGGTTAATCTACAGTTTTTGTAATAAAGTTTGGGCAAAAATGCATTTTCCTAAAAGTTTTGTCAAAAAATATTTTTGTCCCAAAGAATTGTAATTTTTTCAAATTCATTCAATTGTTTCATTTTCAAAAATCTTTCCTAGTGTAGTAATGGTTTGTTATTTAAAATCGGCCAGATTGACATTAGGAAAAAAGACAAAAAAATCCCATTTTTGTCAGTTTTAACACAGTTTACACAATTAGTTTGTTAATCTACAGTTTTGTACATTTTGAAAGTTTTTTAGACAAAAAAAATCCGTCAAAAATCACATTTGTCAATTAAAATCACTAAAACTTAGCCGGGTTTACATGGAGCAAAAAACAAGTCATCAGTTATTTTTTTACAACTTTATTTTTGCAAAACAAGCCAAATAATCAATCAAACTTTTGATTCACAGAGAAGACATGGAAAAGGTCAATATCAAGTTCCACGATAATGGCACTCTCACTTATCAGCACAAGAAAATCCTACAATTTGTACCTGAATTGTCCGTTGATAAGGACCAGAAGATCACTGTCCCCAACATTCCACTTCTGGTGAGTCAAAATATCGAAATGTTAATTTATATAATTAAAAAAATAAAAATTCTAGACCTTGTCAACCCAATCAAACTCTCTTAGTTATTTCGTGCAACGAACAATTTCCTTCTTATTAAGTGTGCGAGGCTTCAAGCCTTTTGTCACTATAACCGCCGATGAGCTAGTCTTCGGCTACGACGACACTCTTGTCTCTCTAGCCCACCAGTTTTACCCCAAACGAAAAAAACCAATGTCCAAAATGGGCCTTTTAATCAATGTAAGTTCTCCTCAATTTTCGTCCCACATTTTACTATTTTCCTTCATAGAGAAATGGAACCTTGAATGAGGTCCATAATATATATACAGGGATGACCGGAATGCAAAATTTCGGATATTTAGAGAAGCTAAACGGCGATGATAAGTTGCCCTACTGGCAGGAATCACCCTGTAACATTATAAGGGCCAGTGAAGGGTCGTTTTTCCCCCCCAGATACTACACCAAATCCGACGTTGTCAACATCTACGACAAGGACTTGTGCAGGACCATGCCCTTACAGTACAGAGGGCCAGTCACAAAGCATGGTAATTAAAAACTTAATCAATTAGCAGGCAACCAACTAAACACGTGTATAACTAGTTGCCTAACAATAAATTTAAATTTCAGGAATTAGTGCTGATTTGTACACCCCAGCTGACAGTATGTTTGAAACTGTGATTAAAGAACCGAACAATAAATGTTATTGTCCCGGGAACGAGTTTTGCCCCCCTAAAGGCCTCCAAAATATTAGCCCCTGTCAGTTCGGTACCTAACCTCAAACTTTATTTTCAATTTTTTTTATAAGTAAAATTCCAGATGCTCCTGTCTATTTATCCTTCCCCCACTTTTTCGAAGCCGATCCAACTCTAATCGAGCCTTTTGAAGGCTTAAATCCAGTCAAGGAGAAGCACCAATCCTATTTTAAAATCCAGCCGGTAATGATGTATTCTTGGTTGCCTAAGTTGTGTACAAATTTTTTGTTTTCTAGAGACTGGGGGTGCCAATTGAGGGCAAAGTGCGTTTACAGCTCAATCTAAAGGTGGACCAAGCACCTCAGGTGGCCCCCGTGTCGAAATTCCCCAGTATCATGTACCCCATAATGTGGCTCGAGGAGGGAATCGACGACTTGACGCCCCCCATCCGACGCTGGATTTACCTCGCGACGACGTTCGCCGACGTCGCATGCCCCCTTATGACCTACGGGTTCATTTTTCTGGGTACTTGCATCCTCATTGGGGTGTTTATAAACGCCTACAAGTCCATTGTTTTCACAAAGGAGACCATCGAAATCGGAATGAAGACGTTGAGGAAGCGAGGAAGCAGCTATTTGGCCGTGGCGAGGCCCAAACTGATCAAAAGGGACACTTACACGTTGCTTGATTTGAACGAGGGCTTGGACGAGATTGATATATGAAAGTGGGACTTAGTTTTTGTAGAAAATTGAACTGCCGAATTGCTCAAATTGTGATTCTTGTGATAATTTTTGGTGCAATAATTTATTTGTTTTTTTGAATTGCCAAAACGTTGACTAGGTTTAGGTAATTGCGGGATTCAAATTGGTGCCTTTTATTCGATGAGTCATCACACAAACTTCGATTTTTGCTCAGTTAGGTCTAGGAGAGCCAGTTTTATAATGAAGTGTACTTTTTTAATAAAATATTTCAACTTTTTGGGGGTTTTTATATGCAGATACCAACGCATAACGAAAAATTAGTTGGTAAAGTCAAGTGTAATTTAAAAAAAAAATTACCCAGGAAATTGATAGAATTATTTTCAACTATACAGCCTGCTTTAGAAATAAGTTACAATACAAACTTATGTTTCTTTAAATAAAAAACACTAAATTTCTTGGTATGTTTGAAAGTGGTTTTTTACTACAATATTTGTTAACTAAACTTATTGATCGATTTGCTTAGTTTTTTAAATAAGTTGTTTTTTTTTGACGAAAACACTCTAAAAATTTGAAACACAAAAACAAAGACAGCTAGAAAAAAAATTACAAAGATGTACAAACTTTAAGAGTTTAACAGTTTTTTAGAGTTTTGCATTTGTAAAGAAAAAATTTGTTGAAGTTATTTAAAAGTTTAAATGAAACAACACCCTCTTTTTTTATTTTTGCATCTAATAGATTGTTAAATTGCCTATAGCTAAAAACAAACTTTTAAATGTCTAAATTATTAAGTAAAAAGATATTTAATAACATTCATAATTTTTGATATATTTTGACTTTATTACTTAAAATCAGCCAGATTTACATTAGAAAAAAATCAATCTTATCAGTTTATTTTTATCAACTAGAACATTTAACACGGAAAAATATTGCAAAATAGTCAGTTTTATGGTTAATCTACTATTTTTGTAGATTTTGAAAGTTTTTTAGGCAAAAAAATTGCATTTATTAAGAAATCTGATCATATTTTGAGATTTTTTTCTTGTCCCAAATAATTGTAATTTTTTCAAATTAAATTGTCTCATTTTCGGAAATCTCCCCTAGTGTAATAATGGTTTGTTACTTAAAATTAGCCAGATTTACAATAGAAAAAAAATAGAAAATCACATTTTTATTTATTTTTAATGAATGATNTTTTGTCCCAAAGAATTGTAATTTTTTCATACTCAATTCTCATTTTCGGAAATGTTCCCTGGTGTAATAATGGTTTGTTACTTAAAATCGGCCAGATTTACAATAAAAAAAAACAAGAAATCGCATTTCTATTTATTTTTAATAAATAATTTCTTACATTAGCAAAAGACTACATTGAAAAATGTTTATTTATCAATTATAAATCTTAGAACCAAAAAAAAAGACATTAAATGGTCAAATTCGACGTTGTGTTCGGATAAATTTCAAGTTTTTATCTGGAAAAACGCAGTTTTATTGAAATAATCTATCAAAAATTTTTTTTGGTGTGATTATGGTTTGTTATTAAAATCGACCCGAGTTACACTTGGTAAAAACCAAAAAAGCTGCGTTTTTTTCAAAAAAGGCAAAATTACATTTTATTAAAAATCTGTAAAAAAATAATTCTATTGTCACATTTTTGAGATTTTTTTCTTGTCCCAAATAATTATAACTTTTTCATATTCAATTGTCTCATTTTCGGAAATCTTCCCTAGTGTAATAATGGTTTGTTACTTAAAATTAGCCAGATTTACAATAGAAAAAAAATAGAAAATCACATTTTTATTTATTTTTAATGAATGATTTCTTACATTAGCAAAAAACTACATTGAAAAATGTTTATTTTATCAATTATAACCTTTAGAACCAATGAAAAAGACATTAAATGGTCAAATTCGAGGTTGTTTTCGTATAAACTTCAAGTTTTCTTCTGGAAAAACGCAGTTTTATTGAAATAATCTATAAAAAAAAATTTTTGTTGTAATTATGGCTTGTTATTAAAATCGGCCAGAATTACACTTGGGAAAAACCAAAAAAAGATGCGTTTTTTTCAAAAAAGGCAAAATTGCATTTTATTAGAAATCTGTCAAAAAATTCTGTTGTCACATTTTTGAGATTTTTTTCTTGTCCCAAATAATTATAACTTTTTCAAATTCAATTGTTTCAGTTTAGGAAAATTTTCCCTAGTGTAATAATGATTTGTTACTCAAAATCGGCCAGATTTACAAGAGAAAAAAGCAAAAAAAAACAAACATTTTTATCAACTATAACACTCAACACGGAAAAAAAAATTGCAAAATAATCAGTTTTATGCTTAATCTACTATTGTTGTAGATTTTGAAAGTTTTTTAGGGAATAAATTGCATCTTATTAAAAAATCTGATCATATTTTGAGATTTTTTTCTTGTCCCAAATAATTGTAATTTTTTCATATTCAATTGTCTTATTTTCGGAAATCTTCCCTAGTGTAATAATGGTTTGTTCTTAAAATCAGCCAGATTTACAATAGAAAAAAACAGAAAATCGCATTTTTATTAATTTTTAATGAATTTTACATTAGTAAAAAACTACATTGAGATATGTTTATTTTATCAATTATAACCTTTAGAACCAAAAAAAAAACATTAAATGGTCAAATTCGAGGTTGTTTTTCGTGTAAATTTCAAGTTTTCTTCTGGAAAAACGCAGTTTTATTGAAATGATCTATCAAAAAATTTTTTGGTGTGATTATGGCTTCTTATTAAAATCGGCCAGAGTTACACTTGGTAAAAACCAAAAAAGCTCCGTTTTTTTTTTTCGAAAAAAAAAGCAAAATTGCATTCTATTAAAAATCTGTAAAAAACTGTGTTGTCACATTTTTGAGATTTTTCTCTTGGCCCAAATAATTATAACTTTTCCAAATTCAATCGTCCCAGTTTCGGAAAATTTTCCCTAGTGTAATAATGATTTATTACTCAAAATCGACCAGATTTACAAGAAAAAAAAGCAAAAAAATATTGCAAAATAATCAGTTGTGTGTTTTTTTACTACAGTATTTATTATTATTATTATTATTTATTTTTGCATCTAATAAATTGTTAAATTGCCTATAGTTAAAAATAAACTTTTAAATATCTAATTTGTTACATAAAAAGATAGTTTTTGACATATGTTAATTTTTTTGTCAAAATTTTTATTTGCAAGGGTCCATTCAACAGATCGAACCCTTTATGATAAATGAATAATTTTTTTTTGCATTTGATAACCAAAGGTATAAAGTATCTTTTAAGGTAGTTCAAAAATGTCAACTGTCTAATTTCAAGGCTAGTATGATTTTGAGAAAATAATGATCAAAAAACGACTAAAACTGTTTTCTTTTAATATAATGACTTTATTTTCTCAATGACAATCAAAAGAACATCAATTTTTATAAATACTTTTATCAACATCTCCTATCTCTTACAATTTTCGAAATAATCACAAATGATTGTACTTAATAATCTTTTTAGTTATTAATTGTGGCAAGAATGTTTTTAGAAAGATTTACGTTATTTAACTTTTAACAAACTAAAAAATTGTTATAATCATAAAGTTGCAGTTGCAAAAAAAATTTTGAGCTATCTTAATTCTTGTGTAATAACTTTTTGGTGTTTGCAATGCAAAAACATATGTTTGTATTGTAACTTATTTTTGGATCACGCTGTATTGTTGAAAATAATTTTAGGCGATCACTTATCAATTTCCTACATAATTTTGTCAAATTTTAAGGTCATTAAACGTAGAAAAATAGATTAAAATAAAACGATTTATTTTTACAAAGTCCACACTAGTGATTAATCTTCAGCGTCATAATTATCTCTTAATTAATTTGCAAACATTATCGGTAATATAAAAATCTGAATTGTGCTAATAAATAAATACCAGCAAGCTCTTTTTTAGTCCTCCTCCAAGTCCGAGTCGTCGATAACAATTGTGTCAACGCCATCTTCCTTAACCACGGAATAATCAGGGGGGTCATCAAACTCGAACCCTGGCACTTCAATAAAAACGGTTTTGTTGACCTGAAAGTCTCAAAATCAGGCCTTGAGCCCCAAAATCACACCAACCACCTCAGTTTTCCTCTTTTTGGCTTCTTGCAACATAGTTTGGCGTGCTGTTAGTTTGCTTATTTGCACCTCCTCGGTCTCTTCCTCGAGTTTCGCGTTGCGTTCTTTGTGCAACTGTCGCAAGACTTGGATCCGCTCCGCGCGCTTTAAGTGTCCGTAGTCGTTACAGAGGAAGGTATGGGGGACCACTGATTGGTGCAACAGCATCTGGATTCGGCCCTTTTTCGCGTGCTCGCCGTAGTTGCGCATGTCTTTCTTCAACTACAAGGATTATTTACAAAAAAACGGAATCTGGGGGTGAATTACGTTAAAATGGTCCTCGCAGCAGAACATAGGGGATTTGGGGTTTTTCGTGCTGGGTTTACCGACGACTTGGAGCCATTTTTTCCGTCTTGTGGGGTTCACAGGGATCGTTATGAACATCTTTTCAGGGGTGGCGTGCGACGAGTTGGGGCATAACGGGACATAACAGACTTTTTTGTATGTGGAACTTGTTGGTTTCTTCCTAACCTCGTTTGCTTGAATCTGTTTTTTATCGGTCAAAACTGTTATTCGGGTTACTTCTAATAGTGGCTCCTCGTCCGAGTCGATTAAATCCATCGCGGGGACCCCCAAATAACCAAAATTTGAAAACTAATAACAAATCTTGACAGGTCAAAATTGACAGTTCACGATTACAGGAAACTGTAGTCTATTTTAATATTTTGTTAATTAATCACGCAAGAAATTTGCTTAATTGGCAAATAAAGAAACGAAACTTGATCCAATGTTAAAATCACGGGTTAAAATGTTGCCTCAACCGATAATTTTATTTTTTGATGTTTAAAACGCAAAAATTAGTACGTCAGGTCTTATCACTTGCCAATAATATTTTGTTACTTCTAATAAAAACTGCTTGACTGAGCTAATTGTTATTACATTTGAGGCCATAAAAAACACTTAGAAACTGAAAAATAAACAGTAATAAATATACAAATTTTAACACAGTTTTTAATTACAGGAAACTGTAATTTGGTCTTATTTTATTAATTAATAACATGGAACACTTGCTTAATTAATAGAAAGAAGCAAATAAAGCCTGAATCAGTACTAGAAAGTTGAGTAAACCAACTATTTTAATTAAATTTTTGTAATTGTGTAATAGTAAAATTAGTACATCGGATCCTGTCACTTAGAATGTTGTGTAGGGGAGGGTGGAAAAAGCCGATTAGCAATAAAATTTTATTCCAATTTAATTGATACATTTGAATTATTGCAGAGAAAGTAAAAATTGTCGTCCAAGTGGGCGTTGCCACACTTTTAAAAAAAATTCACTAATGAAACAAACTGCAAGCGACAAGTCTGTGCAAGCGACTATTTACATAACATACGATAGGCACTATTTCATCAAGTTTAAAAAAATAAATAAATAAAAATTTAGGCCAACAAAACTGAATAAAATTCAATTTTCATACAACAGTCATGCATACACAAACTATACATTCTGTTTAATTACGTTACAAGTTTAAAACTGTACAATTTCAACTTAAATCAACACATTTAAACTACTCAACATTTGACTTAGTTAAAAAATAATCAATTTTGATTTGATGAGATATTTCAACTTATCTATAAATCACATGATACAATCCGGTTTTATTCCCCGTTGACTTCATCGTATTGCGCAAATTTCAAAAACACTTGTTCCAGCGTCGTTTGACTGAAGCTGTACTCCTCAATATCCAACTCCGTTTTAGCTAAAAAAAAAATGCAACATATGGACTCGTGTCTTAAAGTATACCTTTTTCCAATTCCATGAAACAGTTAGCTAAAGAAGGAACACTTTGTTGTGGAACACTGAAGACGAGTCTATCCGCGAAACTCTCCTGCAGCGTCGCATCATGAAACAATCCACTAACAAACTCCCGGAGTTCATTGGGGCGGTCACACGACGTCGAAGTGGGCGTTCTATCCCCACCCCTCAACTTCATTTCCAGCGTATACCCCGCCCCATACAAATTCTTCAGATGCTGAGTGGACCCCAAACACCTCAACTCCCCCTTGACCATAATCCCCACCCTCGAACACAACGCATCGGCCTCCTCCATCGAGTGTGTAGTCAAGATGGCGCCTCTCGAACCCTGAAAACTCGCCAAAATGGTGTCCCACAAAAACCGCTTACTCCTTGGGTCCATCCCTGTGCTCGGCTCATCCAAAAGCACCACTTTGGGGTTCCCCACCATCGCCATGGCGAAAGACAACTTGCGACGGGTGCCCCCCGAACACTGCTGTGCTTGCTTATCAGCATGTTCGTGTATCTGGAGCCCCGAGAGATACAAATCAACAACTTGTGATATATCACTCGAGGGAACCCCCCGAATCGCCGCATAGCACTCTAGATGCTCCCTCACGGTGATATTCTTCCACAAAGCGTCGTGTTGGGGGCAATACCCCAACAACTGAAACGCGTGGTTCATATTCGAGGTGATATTCTCGCCCCCGATTTGGACACGCCCCCGTGTGGGGGCCTCCTCCGCCGTTATGATTTTCATAGTGGTGGTTTTACCAGCCCCATTGTGCCCCAAAAGGCCAAACACCTCGCCGGCATCCACAGCAAGAGAGAGACTCCTAATTGCGATTTTAGTACAATCGGGTTCATCGTCGTGTTTACAACATTCGCATTTTATCTCGCTTTTTGTGTATTCCTTGTGGAGGTTTTGTACCATGACCACTGGGGGGTTCACCACGTGACAATCCATCAAATTTTTCACTTTCCCACGCTCGGTTTTCACATCTTGATCTTCATTTTCGCCAATGTCGCTCAACTCGTTGATGTCTTCGATGTTTTCATCGGTGTTACGTTTCTGCAATTATCAGGAACATCATCAAGATTATCATATTTTAATACCACTCACGAAAAACTTAAATGCGTCGCTGACACGTCCCCCACTCTTCTTGATGTCAATTACCATTAAAACAAAGAACCAAAATGGGATATTTACAAGGATCCCCACCAACATTACTATTATCTCACTAGTCATATAATCGGTCAATGTCAAAGTATTACAAGTCGAGTTTAATTTACACATTATGTAAACCCGCTGTATGTAGTAGATGATCGCATATGGTATATACATGGCGTTGAGTAGAGAAAATAAAATATGTAACACAAACGCTGCTTTTCCGCCAATATTCAACATATCCAACGCTGTGACGAGGAAAAAAGGGATACAGCCGACGAAAGTGGCAATGTTTGGGAGAATTGACTGAGCCGAATCGGTTTTATCGAAAATATAGCTGACACAAGTACTAAAAAGGACCGATGAAGGGCAGTATAAAAGGGTTAGAGTTCCGAGAGTGACCAAAGCGGGCCACCCTTTGAAAGCCGGGATGTTGAATAGGAAGATGATGAGAATAAGGGCGGCACAAATGAGGATCATGAGGCCGGCAAGGACCACGAAATACGTCACGAAGTACATGCAGAAGGACAAGCCGTTGACTCGCAGCTGGTTTTTGGCTTTTATCTGAAAAAAAAAGATTCAAATTATTAGTCCGGCGCATCCGCCATTTTGTTAAACGAATTTTGGGAAGTTTTAGTTTTACAGGTTGGTACAGAAAAATAAATTTTTGTTAAACCGACTGTACACCCTGCTGTTCTCCTAAATTATTTTCCAATTAACATTTGTTTTTCTTCAGAAGTCAATTGACCTTGGTAATTTCTCGAATACCAATCTGACAAAAAAGTCTGTTTAAATAATTTTCATTTTCTAAACTTTAGTTTGTTGTGAAAATATGCTTCTCGTGTACTAATACCAATAAAAAATTATTTACCTCTAAAAAACCTTTTCTGAATGTACATTGGTTCCAATTTTGTCATTTTTGAGAAATGTAACGATGATAACACCAATTCACAAATTGAGAGATGAAATCGTAGGTGGCAATCAACAGAGTTGCCACACATTGTGAGTAAAATTCCCTCGTAAGTAATTACAAAAAATCGTAAATTTATAAATTTAAGTAAATTATTCTATTAATTGCCTTTGAAGCAGTGTCCCCAACTTCAATTTGTAATAATTTTGCAAATTTTGACAATTTTTTAAATAAATTTGTAGTTGTCAATGTCAATAAGCAGAGCTACCAATATTACGCAAAATTTCTGTAAAAATCATGTTTCTAGTGTATTGATATTAATAAAGAATTAATTACCTCTGAAAATCCGTTTCCAAATGTAAATTAGTCCTAATTTTGCCATTTTTAAACAAATGTGGGAATAAAAACACCAACTAACAAGTTGAGAAATGTAATCGCAGGTGCCAAACAACAAAGCTGCCACACATTATGTGTAAAAGTCGTAAAACTCCCTAGTATGTTATTAAAATTGCGATTTTAATAAATTTAATTGAATAATTGAAACTGTCACTCACAAAAACCAGAGCTACCAACATTACGCAAAATTTCTGTACAAATTGTTAAAAAAAATATGCTTCTCGTGTACTAATACCAATAAAAAATTATTTACCTCTGAGAAACCTTTTCTGAATGTACAATGATCCCAGTTTTGTCATTTTTGAGAAATGTAACGATGATAACACCAATTCACAAACTGAAAGATGAAATCGTAGGTGGCAATCAACAGAGCTGCCACACATTGTGCGTAAAATTCCCTCGTAAGTAATTGCAAAAAATCGTAAATTAAATTTAATAAATTTAAATAAATTATTCTATTAATTGCCTTTGAAGCAGTGTCCCCAACTTCAATTTGTAATAATTTTGCAAATTTTAACAATTTTTTAAATAAATTTGAAATTGTCAATGTCAATAAGCAGAGCTACCAATATTACGCAAAATTTCTGTAAAAACTGTTGAAAAATCATGCTTCTAGTGTATTGATATTAATAAAAAATCTTTTTCCGACTATAAATTAGTCCTAATTTGGTCATTTTTAAACAAATGTAGCAATAAAAACACCAACTAACAAATTGAGAAATAAGAAATGCAATCGCAGGTGCCAAACAACAAAGCTGCCACACATTATGGAAAACTATTGTATGTTATTACAAAAATTGCGATTTTAATAAATTTAATTGAATAATTGTAGATATTAATTACTTTTAAGGCAGTGTCCCAACTTTAATTTGTAATAATTTCGCAATTTTTAACGATTTTCTGTATAAATATAGAAACTGTCACTGACAATAAGCAGAGCTACCAACAATACGCAAAGTTTCTGTGCCAAATCACAAAGCTGCCACACATAATGCGTAAAAGTCGTAAAACTCCCTAGTACAGTTGGAGACAAAATACTTTGGTCGTCAATGTCACTTGCGTGACATTAACTTGTAAAGCATGCTTTAGGACTGTTAACCTTATTTTTAGCTACTGTCAATCCTAGTTGATAAGTTGTATGTACATATTTTTGATAGGAAAATATAATAGCTGTCATTAATTTGAAATTGTCATTCATTTTAACGTTAAAGCTTGAATTACATTAAAGTGTCAGAAAAGTGACGACCAAAGTATTTTGTCTCCAACTGTATGTAATTATAAAAATCGCAATTTTAAATAAATTTAAACGAATAATTGTATTAATTACCTTTGAAGCAGGGTCCTCAAATTGAATTTGTAATAATTTCGTAATTTTTAACGATTTTCTGAATAAATTAGAAACTGTCATTGACAATTAGCAGAGCTACCAACATTACGCAAAGTTTGTGCAAAAATTATGCTTCAAGTGTACTAATACCAAAAAGAAATTATTTACATCTGAAAAACCTTATCTAAATGTAAATTAGTCCGAATTTTGTCATTTTTGCACAGATACAATAACGAAAACACCAACACGCAAAATGAAATTGCAACAAAGCTGCCACACATTATGCCTAAAATTCCCCCGTATGTAATTATAAAAAATCGTAATTTTAATAAATTTAAATAAATAATTGTGTTGCAGCAGTATTCCTAACGCAATTTTTAACGATTTTCTTGATAAATCCAAAAATTGACAGTAATCAAAGCTGCCAACATAACGCAAAAACTGGTGTCAATTTTTTTTCAAAAATTACGTAGTGGTTTCAATGAGGGTTAATTTCTCTCAATCAATCTTAATTTGCCATTTTTGACAGGGCTACCAATATAATTTTATTGTTTGAGAGTTTTTTGTAAAAGTATGAATTGTGCCTCACCTCTCGGTCGTAGACCATATCGATGGCCAAACTCACTGGCACTAGCACAAAAATCATCCCCATGAAAGTGGACGCTGAAAAAATCCCGATATCAAACTCCTCCGGTTGTGCAGTTTGCTGAAACGGTAAAGTCAACACTTCGATGGGTTCCCATTGCCCCCTCATCACCCGTTCCGGACTCATAAGTCTATACAACCCATTACTGATCAAATTCAAAATAATGGGCAAACTATGTTGCACCGTATCGTTATAAATCACCGTAATACTCAAATCATTCGTGAAAACATTCACATTCAACGCGGCCATATGGGGGGCCACGTCCAAAAGCAACGAAAAGTTGCCATCATACGAGTCAATCCTCTGCACTCCAACTTCCAACAACTGGTCATAGAAGTCGTCAAGTGAGCCCCCCGAGGCGTTATGAATGGCAAACGTGGTCTTATCGGCGTAGGTTGAGCCGTTGAGGGCCAACGGTGTGAGTTTGACTTCGATGGTTTGCATGCTGTTGAAGTAGAGGACTAGAGCGGCGAGCCCCAGAGGGAGGAGCACCATGAAGTACAACTTTTGGATGTCTCGGATCATGCGCAACACGCGGAGACGCAGGAGGGAAATGAGAGTTTGGCAAACATTGGGGTGACATTCGATTTTTTCGAGCCCGATTCCAGTAATCGGCGATTTTGTCTCACTGATGATTTCCAAGCCCCCCATTGTATCGCCCCCACCTTTCCCATCCTGAGTCACATTCCCCTCGTTTTGCAACGACTGGTAACTCGTACTCTTGCTCTGGAGACTCAGACTGCGACTCAGAGCACGATTTCGCACCATTTTCTTGCTCAGATTATCCATGGTTCCCTCGGTTTCCTCATCCCGTTCCAGGTGCAAAAACACCTCTTCTAGAGTCGTCATCGAGACACCATAACTGGAAATCCCTGAAATCCCTTTAATCCCACCGGGAACTCCCCCAATCATCCCTCACCTAATTTACTCGATTTGTTGTTAATCTCCTGTTCAATGGCCGAGAACAACGAAGCGAAATTATCGACAGCGTTGTGTGGGAGAATGAAACTCAACTCCCGACCATGTCTTCGGGCCTTTTCGGCTTTGGGAACATGCGATGTGACCAATCGGGTGATGGCATGCTCGCGACATATCCCCTCCAAAACCAACGTCAAGTGGTAACCAATCCCGAACTTGTTTTTGAGGAAGAGAGAACTGCCACAACACCGGATGTTGCCTTTGGACACCACGGCTTTCCTATCAGCTAACGGCAAAATGTCATTTTGGACTTGTCGCTTTGGACTTACCTAAAATGTCCGCTTCGTCCATAAAATGTGTAGTCAGGAGGATCACTTTGCCGTGGCGACGGTTCTGAAGGACTGACCACATGTGGCGTCGCGAGTACGGGTCCACACCGGCGGTAGGCTCGTCCAAGATGATAATCTACAAGTCCAAATTGAGGACAAATCGAAGAAAATTTGGACTTACTTTTGGGTCCCCGATGACTGCGATCCCAATCGAAAGTTTGCGTTTTTGGCCTCCACTCAAATGTTTGGCTGACGCGTTGGCCTTATCACTCAAGTCGATATCACGCAACGTTTTCATCACTTCAAATTCGCGCAAATTCGCTGGAATCCCCTGAAATTGACAGGTGCACAATTACAGGAAACTGCACCCAGCAAAAAAATTTGCCCATTTTGGTGATTAATCACGGGGATAATTAACTTAATTAGTGAAAAACACGGGAATTAAACTTGATTTAATGCTAAAATGTCGTTACAGTCAATAATTTTAATTTTTTTAAATTTTAAATATGAAAATTAGTACGTCAGGTCTTGTCACTTGTCAATTACATTTTGTTACTTCTCATGAAGATTACTAGTTTGAATCATTGTTGGTACTTGTGAGACCACCAAAAACTCAAAGACAATCAAAATTAAATTAAATAATGACATATTAACAAATTTTAATCAACCAAATTGACATATCACAAGTACAGGAAACTGTAATCGGTAACAAAATTGTTTATTTTGTTAATTAATAGGTGGAATATTTGTTTAATAAGGAGAAACGAACAAATGAGACCTGATGCAACATTACAATGTCGTGTAAGTCAATGATTTTAATTAATTTCAATAATTCAAGAATTGGTACATCGGGTTTTGTCACTTGTAAAACCAGGCTTACTTTAACCGCAGCGAAAAACTCCAGATGCTCTTTTGGGGTTAGATTATCGAAAAGAATGTCATGTTGTGGGCAAACTCCCGTCATCCTCCTAATCTCGTCCATATCATTGGGGTCTCTGACATCGTACCCGAAAATGTACGCCGTTCCGGAAGTCGGTGCTGTCAAACCTGTCAAAATGTTAAAAAGTGTGGTTTTGCCGGCGCCATTATGCCCCAGAATGGCCGTAATTTGGCCTTCGTAGATCGTCAGATTGATTCCATTGATTGCTTTAATTTCCGGCTTCCGACAATGCTGGAAAAAAACGATAACAAAAGACAAACCCAGTTTGGACTTACATGAAACGTTTTAAACATATCGACAATTCGGATGGCTTCGCGTCCTTTCATTTCACGCGAAACCGGCTCAACGTCCAAATTACCATCCTCGCCGGTGGTTAACGACCCCGCTGAGCCGCCATTGGCCAATGGTATCTAAAATTGGGACTTGAATCGAACCGAGTCCAAATTTGGGACTTACTCTTTGGACTGGTTTCTTGTTAAACCAGAAGAAGGGTCGGAAACAGAAGAATGGCGAGCGTCTGATACCATGCTCGCTGGGTATCACACAATCGAGATAGTAGGCCAGGAGGCCATAAAGGACGATATCCAAAGCCATCATGATTAAACTCCCGCCGAATGGCATTCCAGGACCGGACCACAAATTATCAAAATTGACTCCCTCGCCCTTCAATTCCATGACTAACGCCTATAAAGGGGATTAGTAGGCTGTGAAAGAATCACGTGATTTTACCTTGTCCATAGCCAACGCGAATCCAGACGAACTTATCAAAGAAACGACCCAAAATGCCACTGAACTGGAACTGTCGATGAAAACTTGGATAAAGTAGAACAAACTCATGATATTAACAGCAAAATTTCCAAGGATTCCCGCAGTCTGTTAACAATAATTTAATCAAGTGGCTTCCATCTGTCAAAACTCACCCTCGACTTGTCAAAAAACGGCGTTATCATGAACCCGAACATGATGATGGAAAGTGTGTATAAGAGGACTAGGAGGAAGATGAGGAGGAAATTTGTGTTTTGGAACACTTGGAGGGTGAAGAGGAGGACGCAACAGACGATGGATAAGAAAAGGACGAAAATGCCGTAAATGATGAACCAGGAGAGCCAAAAAACGGAGTCTTTCAGTCCCATGATTTTCATTCCTTCCTTGATTTTGTTCTCCTTTTCGCCGACGATGAGGATGAGCAAATAGGTGATGAATTGGGATAAGGCCATCACCATGTAGAGGGGGATGACGAGACGAAAGGCCACCATCCAGCCGCCGGTGTGGGCGCGTTTTGGGAACATCTCCAGGCTGATTTTCGGGACGTGGAAGTCCCGATCGGTGTCGATCTTACATAAAAAATTATCCATACTTAAAACGAAATGTAAATAAAAGAAAAAAAGAAACTATTTTTTTACATTTAAGGCCATAACATAGCCAAAATCTCTTTCCGGACTCTTCAAACTGGTGTCAAAATACAAAAATGGCGTCATTTTCGTTCTGATACCTTCAAAAATAAATAAAATAGACAATTTTGAATATGACTTGGCTCATTTTGAGACTTTTCTGTGACTCTGAAAATTTCTAATACAGCATCCCAGCGAGTTGAAAAAGTCTGTTAGTGACATTTAAATGGTCAAATTAAAAAAAATACCTAGGACGTGGATAGATACTAATCTAGTTCATCGCCTAAAATTATTTACAACTATACAGCGTGTCTCAAAAATATGTTACAATACAAACTTGTTTTTTTTTTTTAATGAAACACCCTGTTAGTGTTTTTGGATGTAGATTTTTAAGCTAAACTTTTATTGGTCGATTTTTCTTAGTTTTAAAAACAAGACGTTTTTTTTGACGAAAAGCTGTACTCTTTAAAATTTATTACACAAAAACTAAGACATCTAGAAATATTTTTTTACTACCGCAAAGAAGAAGGTACAAGCTATAAGGTTGTAACATTTTTTTAGTGTGTTGCATTTGCAAAGATAAAAAAATGAAAGCGTTTGTTAAAAGTTCAATAACTTAAAAAATTTAAATGGAACACCCTATTTATTGTTTTTGCATTTAAAAGATTATTAAATTGTCTTTCTAAAANTACCGCAAAGAAGAAGGTACAAGCTATAAGGTTGTAACATTTTTTTAGTGTGTTGCATTTGCAAAGATGAAAAAATGAAGGCGTTTGTTAAAAGTTCAATAACTTAAAAAAATTTAATGGAACACCCTATTTATTGTTTTTGCATTTAAAAGATTATTAAATTGTCTTTCTAAAATTATTTACTTTTAGGTGTTTATAATCAATAATTAAAAAAATATTTAATGTTAAACATAAAAAAAAAAATAATTACTATTGTTTCAGTAGCCAAAAAGTACACAGCTGCACAAGAGATGGAAGAAATATCATTTAATAATCACATTTGTGTTAAACTGAATCCATTATTCTTTATTTTTACAATAAAATAATTTAAATTTCAGTATTTATAAGACTTTTACAATCTCTGGATAAATCAACGAATAAGTAATCCATGGTGGAATTACTATGATTGCCATAATATCAACAATGCTCAGATATTGAGAGGCATTGTTGCTACAATTAATATTGAATGTTAAATATCTTTTCATTTATCAATTCTAGACATTAAAAGTTATTTTTTTTAGATAGAAAATTTATCAGTCTATTAGATGCAAAAATAAAAAATAATGTGTATCATTTAAATTTTTTAAGTTAACAAACTTCTTAATTTATTAATCTTTACAAATGCAAAACACTAAAAAATTGCTACAGTTTTAAATTCTGTACTTTCTTCTTTGCAGAAGTTAGAAAATATTTGTTCTAGCTGCCTTAGTTTTTGTGTAATGAATTTTTAAAAAGTGCATGTTTTCGTCAAAAAAACGTCTTATTTGTAAAATTAAGCGATTATCAATTAATAAAAGTTTTGCGTAAAAACATTGTTTTAAAAGGCTACATCCAAAAATGCCAAGACACATACGGTGTTTCATTAAAAAAACACAAGATTGTATTGTAACTTATTTTTGGGACACGCTGTATATTTGAAAATAATCTTAAGTGATGCACTAATTAGTATCTATCAATGAACTATGTATACATTTTTTTTTTAATTTCACCATTTAAAAGTCACCAATAGACTTTATCAACTCGATGGGACACCCTGTATACATAATTTCACTAAAATGTTTCTATACACCTAATAAAGCCTAATCAGACATTATACAAGCACTTTTTTGCGTAGAATTTAACAATGTAGTTAACAATTTTTTTTAGTTATTTGCTTAGCCGTAATAACAGTCTTGAATTTTTTCAAATGGAAGTCATAGGGGGCTATGACATTTTTAAAAAAGTCATAGCCAAACGCGAACTTTAAAACAAGTGCACAAGTATAATAAGAGAGAAAGGGAGAGCAAATAAGAACGCAAAGCATAATAAAACAGAGACAGAGCATAAGAATAAAGCATAAGTAGAGGAAAGCGCATAAAAAATATCGTGTAAACTATTTTTAAATTTGTACCTTTATTTGTTTTGGAGATACAAAGCATTTTAACATTATTGAACACAAATACAATTTAACCCTATATAAACTCAAATTTTCATAATGTTTTTTGCAATAATGTTAAACTTTTTATTGGATCCTCTTGGTATGGGAATGATGAACACAAACACTTTTTAAAAATAAAAGTTTGTTGGGTTAAATTGTGTTTGTGTTCATCATTCCCATACCAAGAGGATCCAATAAGAAGTTTAACATTATTGACTCAAACATTTTAACAAAACTGAGTTTTATAACAAAACACGTTAAAAATGCTCCCCAATTATTTATTGACATAAGTTAAAAACTATTGCAGATAATTCTAAAAAACTTGGTGCGTTATATCGACAATTTAGTGGGGAGAATTCAAAAATGTAACAAAAGGTAAAAGTTTTTATAAAAAAAAAACAGAACTTAGTTGTGTATCTAATTTTGGGACCCCTTTTATTAAATAAAAATATTTTTGAAATGTGCTTCATTATCAGACCTACTATTAAAAAAAAAAAACGAATCAATAGCTTGAATAGAAAAAAAGTTATAGAGCTTACACGCACCCCTGAGTCACCCTGTATGTAGAATAATTTTTGTTAAAAACTAAAAAACTACAATTTGGGCACCTATTTCATTAAAATACATTGATGTACAATGATGTCTTGTTTAAATCTGACCCAAATTGATTAGGAATAGCTCAAATCCTTTAATTTTGGCAGAAAACAGCGATTTAAGCATTCATTAAAAAAAAACATTTATTACAATGTTTTGGCTCAAAAAACAAACTAAATTGAAGAAAACTGGCCAAAATAACGTCAATTTCCGATTATATTTTGTGATTTTTCAGCATGTTTTAGTGAAAATTGCGGAAAAACTGAATTTTTTATTATACATTTTTAAAAATATGTTTCAACACTCGAAAAATGTGTAAATAACACCATTTTTTACTTTATTCTATGATTTTTGGCGAAATTATGCGTAATAATTTATTTTCTGAATGGAAATGTACTAAAACACTCAAAAAACTGGTGTCAAAATACGTAAATAGCGTATAGTTGAAATTGGCATAAAGTTTTTTGTTTTTTTTTTCGATTACTTACCTGCATGACTGACGTTTGTATTCGTTTTTTCACTGTTTTCGTTGTTTATTCGTTATTCTCAATATTTTTTTCAAATTACAATTAAAAATAGTTCTCTTCTCTAAGGTATGTTTAAAAACAAAATCAATTTCTTTTTGTTGTTCCAGTTTTAGGTTAATGGAATCAAATATAAACCAATTACCAATTTGAATAAAGCCAAATTATTTTCTCCAAAGCAAATAGTGTATGTTTTTGGTGTTAAAACAACAAAGGGATGAAACAGGGTGTTAAATTTTTTTGGAAAAACTCTCTCTGAAAACCTCTAGACGAGTGTTCTTTAAAAATTAAATTTGAACTATCTTAACCTCACTTTTTTAGTGACAAATTTAGTTCCCTAATATGTAAAGTCTTGTTCACATCATTTAAAGCGCGGTTTACACAATCATGCCTGCTGTTATGCCAATTTCAATGAAAAGAATTACAATTTTCGTTGCAATATCTCCGTAAAAATAAATAAAATAAAAAATTTGAAAGAAAAAAAAGTTTATTTTTTTCTTACCTTAATCTTCGTATAGTCCAAGAGCGCCTGCAGGGCCACAAACCCGGAATAGTAATACTGATTAACCGGACAATTTTTCCCCGTCTCAATCGGTAAAACATTGGCTCCGGACCAAAAATCGGACGATTCCCGACACGACGCCGGCGAACTATACAAAACCGTCGTCGAAGGAGTCTCAAACTCTGACGGATTCGACCTGATTTTGTACTTCAAAGGTCCACTAATCGGTCTCGGATCTTCGAAAATCACAGCGATTGGTATATTGTTCGGTTGGGACCAATACCCAGTGAGTAGATCCTCCTCGGTGGGAAAAAGCAACCATTTGATTGGATGGAAACCCGAAGTGTTGTGGTCGATGGTGTGCCACAAGTCGTTGACGCGTTTTAAAAAGTCCTGAAAAAAATTTTTATTTTGGAAAATTTGAAGAAAAAAAGTGGGATAATAACGCACTTGAGTTTCGTTAGTGTTGGGGACTACGGCGACGGTGTGATCTTTCAGTTTTTGGAAATAGGAGAAGAGGTGGACTTCGCCTCGTGGAGTGTCTATCGCCGGAAAATTCGGGTTCGGAATCATCACTTTCATCACGATGAGGACACCGAGAGAGTACAGAGGCAATAAAACCTCCTAAAAATGAAAAGTAAAAAAATTTTAAGACCAAATATCATGTTATTTAAAAAAAAAAACATGGTAAAACTACAAATGTACAGATTTTTTCAACAAGAAATTAGCATCTAGGATTTAAACTTTTAGGAAAATTAAGTTTTTCATGTTGTTTGTTACTAGAATTTTCAGAAGTAATTTTGAATCTCTAGGGTTGGTTACCCCTTGTTGCTGACAGTTGACGTTATCTGTCAACCTGCTGTCAACTATCAATTAAATTATCCATTCAAACTGACAACTAACCAAATTTACGGCAACCTATTCACGAATATCCCTAAATTCTAGGGAGTAATTTCTTGTTGATACGACACAGGGGCGGATCCAGGAATTAATTTTGAGGGGGGGCAATCTAAATTTTTTTAGAATGATAAGAGTATACAGTGAGCGGCTAAATTATAGAATAATCTCATTTATTAAAACTGAAAATATTTTGTTTTGGCAAAAATGCTCGAACAAAATTTTTAACTTGATTTAAAATTGTATCTGGTGTTGCCATTCCGACAATTAAAAAAATCTATCAAATTCGCTAAAAAAATTAGGGGTTTCCATTAAAAAAAATATGCCACAAATCACTATTTTTGAAAGTAAATAAGTCAAAATGACATAAATATGACAAGAGTAAAAATGAGGTTATTAATATAAAGGTTGTTCTAGAGTTTATATTATGAAAATGACAATACTGCCCGAAATTTTAATTCCGCAACTGTACGTTTTCGGATCCAAAAATGACTCGATTACAAATTATTTTGATCTCTCAGTATATGTATGATTTGTATTAATAAGTGTGATATAAAAAGAATTAGAAAATTAGAAAAAACTTTAGGTTATAAGGTATTTATATTAAAATTTAAATATAAAAAATTGAAGCTTTCGATGGTAAGTTTAGGGGGGGCACTAGCCCCTTGGGCCCCTCCTCTGAATCCGCCCTTGATACGACAATAATAAAAATTTTACTGATCCAAAAAGTCGCGGCCAATTCATAGTAGCAATTTGTAAAAATTTAGTTGTGTAAATCCGACTTTAAACATCCAATTGTTTTTTAAGAAACATACTCTTTTTCATATTAATGTGCATCAAGAGTAGGTTGTGGAAGTCTAAAAGAATCTTTAATTTAAAGGCTGATTTACACAAAAAGTGTCAATGTCATTCAAAACAAATTTATTACGTTGTTAATTTTAATTATTTTTGCTACATGGGGTACACATTTATTTGAAAAAATAATTTTTAGGGAAAATTGTGGTTAGGATTATTTAATTGTCACATGGTTGCCACCTTAAAATAATCCCTTTCAGTGACTACTTGGATGCACATTAATGTGAAAACGAGTATATCTGTCAAAAATGACAATTCTGAAAAAGTCAGGTTTTAATACTTCACATATAAAATCTGCTGTGCCTGTCACAATTTATTGTTGACACAATAATGGCGACTTTACATAATTTTTAAGTGTAGTTCAAAATTGCAATTTTTTAAGAAAAAATACATTTTTAAGTTTTATTTAAAATTTATATTTTGTATTTGGTGGATTATTTATTATTATTAATTATTCTCAAAACCAAATGTCAAAAGTAGGCACTTATTTTTTTCTATTTAAGTATTTGTTGTTTTGAAGGTACAACACTCTTTAATAATAATTCAAAAAAATTGAAAACGCAATTAAAATCTACACTTTTTCTTTGTCCTTGTTTTTAAAATTAAATTGACAACATTCAATAATGTCAAAAGGCCGTTGACTCTAGAATTAATTTAGAAATTTATTCGAAATTGCTTAGAATTATTTGAACGTTTTTGGAATTATTAAAATTATGTTGATTGTTTGGAATTATTGGAATTATTATTAACTACTGGAAGTTTCATGGAGTTACTACTTTTTTTGGAATTACCGGAGATAATTTCTATTGAAAATTCTATAGAAATATCGGAAATATTTGGGAATTACAAAATTAAGTTGAAATTACAGAAATTAATTTGAAATTGTAGGAATTACTGAAATTATCTGCGATTACTGAAATTCTTATTGGAATTTTCGTAGATAATTTCTTTTGAAAATTACGTTCAATTTCTTAGAACTATCAGAATTAATTTGGAATTCCAAGAATTATTTTGGAATTGCGAAAATTAAGTTGGAATTTTGATGGAGTGTCGAAATTACTGGAATTTCGGTAAATTTTTTTTGGAATTACTGGAATTTTTTTGGAATTAGAATGAGTTGTATGCTTTTTTTCAAAGTTAACGCCCCTTTGAATAATGTTATGAATCATGAAATTCATATTTTTAATCAAAGTCGGCTGTGATTTTGAAACTAAGTTGGTAACTGTGTAGTTACCAGTGTAAATTTCACTAATGAATATTACAGAAATTGAAAATTTTAAAACAGTAAATTTACACAGTTTTACACTTTCGATAGTTTTAAAACTTACAGTGTAATTTTACAATGTATTAAAAAAAATTACCTACATTTATACCATGTTTTATTTAATCATAAGTCCTATTTTTTTTTCTTAAAAGTTACAATATTTTTTAATAATAATCAAATAAAAAATGTAAAAGTACATTAAAATCAATACTTTTACATGTAAAAAAAACTGTGTTTATTTCACAAATCTCTTGTAAATTATAAGTTGGCAGCATTGAGTAATGTTGAGGTAAAAATTATGAGATATTTTCAAAGTAGCCTTTCATTTTTGAAATTGAGTCGGTAACAGTGTAATTACCAATGTAATTTTGTAACAGAGAATTTTAAAACAATTTTACACTCTGTTAGTTGCAAAACTTTCAGTGTAATTTTACATCGTGTTAAAGAAAAAAAAATACATTTTTATATTTTATTTAATAACATTGTGTGTTGATTATTCTTGAAGCTGATACCAAAAGTCCAAATTTTTATATTCGTTTATTTCTTTAAGATTACATCACTTTTGAACAATAATTAAATAAAAAATGTAAAACTTCATTAAAATCCATACTTAAAAAAAGACTGATTTTGCTTTACAAAGTTCTTCATGATTAAGTTGGCAACAGAACAATAGAGAAGCAAAAATCTTGAAATATTTTTAATCAAAGTAGCCTTCGACTTTGAAATTAAATTGGCAACAGTGCATCGCAAAAAAACAAATTTTAATTAATGTACTTCTACTGCAGTGACAGAAGATAAAAATAATTATTCAGTGTTGCCAACTTAATTTCAACCACAAAATTGAGATTTACATTTAAAAAACTGACTTCTGTTTCAAACTTATATGTTAAGAAATTTTTATGGTGGCAGCAATGAACTGAATTATTATTATTTCTTATTTTCACTTATTTTCCTATTAAACTTTTGACATTTAACATGATGTAATTTTATACAGAGTGGTTATAAATGATTTTCATATAGCCAGCTTTGGAATTTTTTTGAATGTAATTTTATTTGTGCCTCTCTAATTTTTTGAAAGCTCTACTTCTGTCATTAGTGTCACTTATTAATTAATAATAAATTGTTGTTAATTAAACTTTTATTGTTTCAACAAATTTCCAATAATGTATACTTTGGAAGAAAAGTTTATAATTGAAGTCTATTTTCAAAGTGGACGCTTAGTAAACGGCGATTTTTTAATTTTGAGTTAAAACAAGTAGATACCCCTATTTTCGTAAAGCGGCATTTTTTTATTTTACATGGAAAATTCACAGCTGGCAAGATGAAAATCATTTATAATCACTTTGTATTTCTGATTCTGAATGATGAGATTATGGCCTTGAAATGCGTTTTAAAAAGTCAAAAAAGTGTAAAATCGTGTAAAAACAGTAAAATGGTGCTTTATTTTTATGAAATTACATAACAATTATTAAATAGGTTTTGTTGATTTAATCTTAGAAAGCGTTCTCTCTAAAATTACATTTCAATCAATACATTCGTTTATTTTCCTGATAAAAGTGTCTAAATTTAGCCATGATATAACAAGAGAAATGGATGCAATAGAAAGACACTTATAATAAATTTCACGACAGTTTAACAGTGTTAAGGTCAAGGACACAAAAAGGCCAAAAAGAAATGCAATTTCCGCTAAAAAAAATAATCCTGAAACCCCATCATCCCCAATCCAATTTCCCCAATAATGTGAAACCTACCGCAGTCGTTTTCCTCTTTTCCCTTTTCTTGAGCAGAATATTCCTCTTCAGCATGGCCTTCAGCTGTGCGAAGTAGATCGAGCCTCGCGTCTCCCCCATGTCTCAAACTCTTCCTAGTTTTTACAGCACATTTCTGAAAAATCACGCAAACGTTGACATTTTTGGCTCTAATGTTATCACTGCCCTATGTCAAAAGTTAGACATTGTACACTACCGCCGCCACCGCCGCCATTTTCCCGTGGGGGCGGTCGATCGCCGCCGAACAAAACGACACAACGAGATGGTATCACACCGGATTATTTTCCACTCTGGGGGTGGTTTTCGCGGACATTGTCGATGGGTCCGGTGACGATTTTTGCGTTTTTCCGAGATAATTGAGTGAAAATGGCACGAGAACGGGGGTTGTGGCCGCGATGGCGAGATCACGGCACTGAAGAGGGAGGCGAGGGTGGCGGCGACGCGCATGGACGGCGAGGAATGAATGGGGTGAAGGGTGCACAGGGTGGACGCAAATTTCACCCTTTTAGCCAAATAAATAAATTAATATTAAAATTCGACGTCGCAGTTGGCCGTGACAAGTTCGTTGTGAACAGACCATGAATACATAAACAAACCAACATAACCTTACAATTACAATTTTAGTACTATGCACAAAATTATGAATAAAAATCAAATCTCAAATTTCAATAAACGAGAAACATAATATTTAAAAGTTTTGCAAAACCAACTTCGACCTTGAATTTTAAATAGTAGATAGTAGATAGTACTAATATTTAATGTGTCATTTTTGTATTAATTATAATGAATGTCAACTCAATAATATTTAAAATTTGTAGACAAAGAATAGTATTCATCTCATATGTAGTAGCTATTGTATACTCAAATGATTACAAAACTCGCCTTCTGGTCGTTTTGTAAACTTTATCTTTCTGAATACCAGTAAAATAACAATTTTTTTTATTTTTATCATAAATCGACTAAAATCATTATTCTAGAAGTGGACTTATTTTTTTGGAAATTAATATGAGATTGTAAAAAAAAGACGTAGTGACCATTATACAGGATGGTCCAGAAGTCTGGAAATGATTTTATTCTGGCAAAATTAAATTTTTTTTTGGCAAATAAATTTATAGGTGTGCCATGGAAAAAACTTGAATATTAATTAATTGTTTATATTTACGAGATAAACATAGTAACATTTTTTTTTAATGGCTAAATGGCAATCTACTACAATTTTTTTTAGACGAGCTTGTTAAACGAATCGTTGCTGTGCAATTTTTTTTTTGTAAACCTCACTTTTTTGTTAAAAAAATGTTTGACTTACAAGAATTAAAGAATCTTTTTTGAGTAAACTACTAGTTTTTTTGGAAATAAATTAATAAATGTTTAAAGGTTGTAAAAGAGCAATGCCAAAATATTTTTTATTTTAATTAATTGTTTAAACTCAGATTATTAAAAAACTCGCGCTCTGCACATTTTGTAAATTTTATTTTTGTCATTATAATAGTGGAATAATAATATGTATATTTTTTTATTTTATCACAAAAGTTCTCAAATTTACATTGATTAAAATCATTTAGAAACATGTAAGAAGTTCCATTATTCCAAAACCGGACTCAATTTTTTTTTGAAAATGAAAATGAGATTGTTAAGACATAGAAATGTAACAACTTTAATACACAAATTAGAAAACGTAAAAATACATATAATAAAAAAAATATGTTACGTGAAAAAAAAAACATAAGAGCGTAAAAATGTAACATTAACGTAACAGTATCAAAACATCTTTAGGACTTAAGACACAAAAATTACATTAAAAAACAGTTATCCATTATTGTTTCTAAATTGTCTACTAATTTAAACACCCTGTACAACAAAAACAAAGAGAAATGCCTTCAAACAATATATGAGTAGATCTTTTATGCCTTTTATTTTTTACTTTTTACACTTTTTACTTTTTACACTTTTTACTTTTTACACTTTTTACTTTTTACACTTTTTACTTTTTACACTTTTTACTTTTTACACTTTTTACTTTTTAC